GGTTCGCTACTCAGCTTTTCTTCCTCGTCTGCTCTAGTGGTGGTTGCTGGGAGGGGTTGATTAAGTGCAGTAGTATCTTCTTTGTCTTAAAGGGCTTCGTAAAAGGCTAGTTTCATTCTGTCTATGGAAATTGTCTCCGTGTTCCCATTTTTATTGATAACGAAGTATTTGCTTGTTCAATTGATTACTTGGTATGGTCCTTCGTACGGTTGCTTCAGTGGTTTTTTAACTGCATCAACACGAACAAAAACGAACTTGTATGTTTCTAGGTTTTTGTCAAGTTGCACTCGGTTGTTATGTTCCTGAGGCGGTGTGGCTTTGATTCTATCCACGGTTTGTAGTAATTGGTTGACGAAACGGCTTGGGTCTGTTGCTGTTGCTGGATATGAGTCTACGAGTTGTCCTGGTAATGTGCGAGTTATACCATAGACTAACTCAGCAGCTGTACACCCTATGTCCTCTTTGATGGTTGAACGGATACCTAGGAGCACAAGAGGTAATGCGTCTCTCCATTTTGATGTCATTTTGTGCCATCAGCGAGCTTTTTAGTTGGCGGTGAAATCTTTCGACCAAGCCATTAGCTGCTGGGTGGTAAGCTGTGGTTTTAATGTGATTGACCCCTAGAACTTTAGTGAACTCCTGAAAAAGGACATTAAAACTGGGGACCACGATCTGTCGTGATTATTGATGGTACTCCATAGTTAGATATCCAGCGGTCGCGGAAGACTGAAGCGACTGTTTCTGCCGAAATGTATTTTATGGGGCAGGCTTTGGACCATCTAGTAAACCTGTCTACTGCAGTAAGGATGTGCGTGAAAGAGTTTGATGGTGGAAGAAGCCCCATTAAATCTAAATGCACGTGCTGGAAGCGTTTGTCAGGGATAAGGAACTTCTCAATTGGACTGGAGGTGTGTTTCTGCGTCTTACTGCGTTGACAGTGGAGACAGCTACGTGTCCAACGTTTAACATCCGAGTTGATTTTTGGCCACACAAAACGTTCGGTAATGAGCTTTGTTGTTGCTCTGATGCCTGAGTGTGGAAGACCGTGCAAGAGCCGAAATATATTTCGTCGACAAGCCTGTGGGATAAACGGACGATTGTTGCCTGTTGAGATGTCACAGATGGTAAATGAGTCTGAATGAGTCTGAATTGGTACGTGTTTGAGTATCAAGTTAGACTTTTCTTTGCAGTTTTTTACATCTGCGTCGTCTACTTGCAATTTTGCGATTGTTTCCAGATCGATGTCTTGCTTACGTACCAAAGTATTTACGTCCTTTCGTGATAGTGCGTCAGCTACGACGTTAGTGTGTCCTTTGACAAATTGAATATCTGTCGTAAACTGGGAGATGTTATCCTGTTTTCGTGCTACTCAAGGTGAGTGTCGGTCGTACGAATTGTTGAATGACTAACATAAAGTTTTGTGATCGGCCATGATGTTTATGTTCTTTAAATTTTTTACCGGCTAAGTAGATAGCAAGTTACATTCGTCCAAACGTACTATAGCGTTCCTGGGCTGGTGACAGCCTCTTGAAATGAAACGCTACGTGATTAGTCATGTTATTTACCTGTTGTTGTAATACTACCTCAAGCAGCTTTCTGTAAGAGATCCGTACATTGGATCAAATGAGTGGTGTGGCCAGTATTGAGGTGTTGTAACATGGTAGCGTTGGCTATCAAGGACTTTACTCTTTCAAATGCCATTTTGGCATCAGGCGGTAGCTTGAATGTTTGATTCTTTTCCTTCCTCTTACCTTTTTTGTCACTTTTCAGTAAATCAGTTAACGGCTGTAACTCATCCGCACAACATGGTAGGAATCGGCAGTAGAAATTGCACGTCCCGAGAAAACGGCGTAATGACTTTATGGAAGTTAGTTCAGGGTAATTGGTAATAGCTTCAACCTTTTCTGGGAGTGGTTTGATGCCTTGAGAGTCAATGTAATGTCCTGAAAACTGTAAGGCTGGGACGGCGAATATACATTTAGAAGGATTGATAACAACGCCATGTTTCTTAAAACGTTCAAAGGGGATCTGAACATGCTGGGCGTGCTCCTCTATTGATGAGCTAGCGATCAAAACGTCGTCTATGTAGGCGAATACAAAGTCTAAACTTCTTGTGACATCATCCATGAATCGTTGGAATGTCTGGGCGGCATTTTTCAGTCCGAATGGCATTCTTAGAAACTCAAACAGATCAAAGGGTGCGATGATGGCTGTCTTCTCGATGTCTTCTGGTGCCATCGGAATTCGGTGGTATGCGCACACGAGATCGAGCTTCGAGAAAATGCATTTACCATGTAAGTTTAACGAGAAGTCATGTATATGTGGGATAGGATACCCATCAGGGATGGTTTGATTATTCAGACGGCGGTAGTCACCACACGGACGCCAGTCTTGGTCTTTCTTTGGTACCATGTGTAACGGCGAGGCCCAAGGACTATTAGATGGTCTGATGATACCAAGTTGCATCATGTGTTCAAATTCTCTCTTAGCTGTCTGCAACTTTGTTGGTGGTAATCTCCTCGCTCTGGCGCGAATGGGTGGTCTAGTGGTAGTGATATGGTGTTGCACCAGCTGTGGGTTACCTTCCTTTTGGTAATCTGATTAAGTAATGCACTGGTATTCTGTCAATATGTCGCTGAAAACGTTCGCAGGCTTCATTATTCGTACACCATGGATTTCATAGTCGTTAGAGAGTGTACCATTTACCTGTAAACGTGTGTTTACATCGATTAATCTCTTGTTGGTCATGTCTACTAACAAGTTGTACGCGCTCAGGAAATCGGCTTTGATGATGGGTTGTTTGACGTGAGCTCGAAATGACATTGGAACCTGGAACTAATGATACATTTAACTATATTTCGTACCTGAAGAATTGAAAAACGTTAAAGATCCTTAACAGCGTCATATGGACGCAAACGTAGATCGATGTCTGTTTTACTCCAAATTTTCCAGAACGTCAAAAGCAGAGGATCACCTCTTCTGAGCACTTTCGACACGGCTGTTTGTGTGGTTGCCTAGGCTTAATTGATGACGCTGGTAACAGCCAGCCCACATTGACTTCCGGGCAATCCAGTAATTTTTTATGTAATCATACACCCGTGGGAAATGCGTCCTTAGATGTTCGTACTTTCGAGTAAATCTGAGTATAATGCGATATGAAAAGTGTCTAAACTCAGTTAATTACAAGGTGAGTTCAACACCTGGGTATAACCGTGAACGCATTCTGGCGATATCGTCCTTGGTAAGCTGTTTATTGAACTTCCAAGAAACCAGATACCGTAAGCTATGAGTTGGTGTATTACTCAGTAGAAACATTCGTAAATATAAGCGTTCACTTGACGTCAACTGTCGTCTCGATGGGTCGACAAGAATATACCCTTCTGTGCAAGGATGGTTGTGCACGATTTGAATAGAGGTGACTTTCAGCTCACCATTTATTGCCCGGACCCAAAATCCAGATTGACAATGGCAATATTTCGACCTAAAGGATTGATTCATTTGAAGTAAGGCATACGTAGATGACCGACGTCGTCTCCTTTGTTTAGGTTGTGTTGGCGAGTTAGGAGTTGTATGCTCTTCAGAAGAATGATGATTATTATCATCATCTACATCCTGAAAGCGAGCGTCCGACCCTGACGAACTGCGTTTACGTTCATATGTACAGACATATCTCACGAAAAAGTACTTTAGAGTTGGATCATCACTGTTCCTTTTGCATACTGACATAACGTACTTAGTATGCGTATACTAAAAAAAATAATTATTAACCACAGAAGCCATATCACCTTATGCTGAGAATTCTATATTGTATCAAAAATATAATGTTGAATAAAGCTTCTAACAATAATAATAATGTACTTCTTTCAATTGAAAGAAGTACCTGTTTAAACAGGTCTCAAAATTGTCCCAACTTGTAAATCTTCGAGATGGCATAATATCATTGAAGATTCGTCCTATATCATCATCACGATGGCATCGTCTTCGCTACTTGAAGAATGACGTTATCAGACATGGCGTGGCTGAACTTAATTCAAGTCTAAAAATATCTTGATTTGACCGCTTCAGAAAATTTTCACGCACCAATAATTTTGAGACAGTTTGACCTTCAAGTTCTCGCAACCTCCACAGTGAACGATACCCCTGAAGCGTTGCCTGTGTGTTGACGCTAAGTTTATACTTTTATATTTTTGAGCAACAGTACAAACCAACGTTCTGAACAGTTTTAGCAGAGCTTAAGCCTTGCGAAAAATTAAGTACTTCACTTTTTAGTACTGAAAAAAAAGATAATTTAGTGTTAATTTTGAGGAGAGTCACTTTAGTGGTAATATTGGGTGAAAGTAGACATGTTGATAATTTTCAGGAAAAGTAAACAAATCGGTGCTAATGTTGGTGAGTATACTCAAGATTTCCCTTCGATAATGTGATTGTGGAAAAAGTACGCCTTATTTATCTCAGATTGGGGAAAAGGCGACATTTTAATGCATTATCGATTATTCACACTGGATTTTTCGCAGAATTTCCCCTTTTTTGTTTGACCGTTCAACCCATGTGTTGTATAACGTGATTTAGGAGCAACCAACTCTCAACTCAGTATTGTGTTACGCCCCTTCCCTCAAGCCTTAAGATGCTCCATGGTACTCCACTCAAAGTATTTCATTCACGTCGTCTACACCTGCCTAAGTATTGATGGTAACATTGTTACGTGTTCTAAAGATAGTAGTGTGTTATGACTTTCAAGCACTAAGTTGCGGGTTTTAACCTTGGTCTGCCTACCTCTATTTGGACATCCTGGTATAATCACTTTCCCTTATGTTTATAATGTAGCTCAAACCTGATTACGCGAGCGTGCATCTAGTTGCTTAGCAGAACATGACTGTTTCTTGTCGTTCGTGAGACACTGAACATTTGCTCGTACACAAACCTTCTAGCTTTGATTCTTTCCTAGGTTATTGATACTTTTGGTGGGACATTTTCATTGTTTTTGTCAATCGCGTAGTCAAATGGTTTCGTGGATAGACAAATATAAAATCCTACAAAGTAAGGTGTGCTTTTAACACACTTGTTAATTGTTATAGGTGATTTGTTCCTTGGACGTGTTGCTTTGTTATCTTTAGTTGTGCAAAATGCCGCTGTTGTCCTTGTGACTCGATATTCTCGTGCTAGAAAAGGAGATTTGTATTTTCCTACAACGGCAGTGGTGATGAGTGAATTAGTGAAACTTTTAGTTTGTTTTCTACTTGTTTTTTTCGAAGAGAAATGTTCTTTTGTCTCTTGTATACACAGTTTATGGGAAAATATATTGAAAGATCCGAAGGATTGTCTTTTAGTCTCCGTCCCCGGAATGATCTACACAATTCAAAACAACTTACTATTCGTTGGTTATTCAAATTTAGATGCTGTTTCTTTTCAGGTTAGTTACCTTGCGAATTATTTAGCGACTATCACTAGTTTGTTAAGAATTCCATCTAGTTCTCTTCTCATATTATGTTGATATAGTTATTTCAACGTCTGTTTTGTAGTTGTTTCGTGGTTTAATTTATGCGCTATTTCTGTTTCATATGGATTTGTCAACAGAAAAAAGATCAAGGTATATCTTACGTCCACGTTCTGTTAATGATCTAAGAAGTAACTAGTGATTAGTACGTAAGACAAGTTAACCAGAAACTAAAAACAGTCAAAACCTCAACTTCATAATGAAGGTTAGATTCTGTGCAGTGGTATAGAAGACTAACAATGAATCATACATTCAAGGCAACGTAGAGCCTGGTACATGTGTACATCGGTTCCAGTTGTCATAGCCCGTTAGCATAGCGAGGTCTAGTCAGGATGAATCTTTGGGTAGTAGAGGTAGTAACGGTGATAGTAGTAGTAGTAGTAGGAAATATCAGTGTCGAGGATACGATTCGAGATCTTAATTAGTGAGATGATAAAAAAACGGAAGAATTTAGGAATTTGAGATACATGGAGAGAAAAGGTGTTGATGCACCCGGATCATTGTGAACGATTTTGAGCCATGTCATTCAAGTTTCCGACCATTGTTTACAATAATTCTGCATACCGAAACTAGTTACTCTTCATATGTTGACAAGTCTGAGTTCAATAGTCGGTATCTTGATGGACTAATACAGTCTTTTTGTTTAGCAACCCCTAGGTTTCTTCCAACGTACTCATGTCAGTCAGTCGGTAACAACGTAGAACTTCGTACGTACGTACATCAACTCGAGTTGCCACACATTAGCACAGAAATGCAGTTGTCGATTCAAATCCCGTAGTGGTAGAGGTGATAAGAGTATAAGCAGTAGTCGGAAAATTTAGGGTTTGAAGATGTTATTTAAAGAGTATAATCCAGTGAAATAAATTTGGAAAGAGGGAAAAAGGGACATGAAGTATTCAGAAAATTAGAATTCGAGAAAACTCAAAGAGTGGATGCACCTGCGCCATTGCAAACGATTTTGAGCCATGCCACTCAGGGTCTTTAACCATCGGTTGCTATCATCTCGCGGTCCCCAACCATATGGTCTACACCTACCAACATGGCTCGGTTCACTTGTCAGTGACTTCATGGATTTGTGCCATGTTTTGGTCTGGTGGCCCCTAGCTTTCTTCCAACCTACTCCTACACTGTAAAACATCGCACGTCGAGGCAGTCAGTGGTTAGGCATACGTAAAATGTCTAAGCCATCTCAACTGATGAAGTTTCACCACTTCATCAATTGATTTGCCATCCTTACCTAGTACCCGTTTCCTGACAACTGCGTTACTTACTCGATGGTCCCAGGATATACGAGCAATGTTTCGAAGACATCTGCGGTTAAATACTAGTAACCTACGAATATCCTCTACTCTTACCGGCCACGTTTCACTGCCATAAAGTATGACAGAACGAACTGGTGCGCAGTAAACACGTCCTTTGGCTGATATGCGGATATCTCGCCTACGCCATAAATGACGCAAGTTAGCAAAAGCGAATCGAGCCTTCTGTATCCGTGCTGAGATTTCTTCACACACCAGACCACAAGGGCTGATGAGACTTCCAAGATAAGTGAAGCGATCGACACGCTCAATTACTTCACTCCCTATCACTAGTTCGAGTGTCGATGCAACTCAATCCTGAAGTAACATTTCGCATTTCGAGGGAGAGAATCGCATGTCGAACATGCTTGCATTGTTGCTTAGAGTGGCCAGAAGACTGCATTTTTTCAGCGTCTTCACCAAATAGAACTATATCATCGGTATATTCTAGGTCAAAAAGTGAACCTCCTAGTAAAAGTTCAACCCTTGGAAATTTAGATGAGGAAAGTGTCATCTCTTAAAGCACGTCAACGACAAAGTTGAACAAGAATGGAGAGAGTGATGATGACAGTTCTCCATAAGCTCTCACCCGACCAGTTGTGTTCGAGTAGAGAGCCTTTACAAGGTTAATTTACTTCTTAGGTACTATTTTCGGTGACAAACACTGCCACAGAACCTCACGATCAACAGAGTCGAATGCCGCCTTAAGGTCGAGAAATACTATAACTGTGGGGTGTATGAATGTGTGTCGATGTTCTAGGACCTGGCGTAGTGTGAATATCTGGTCTATACAACCACGTCCAGGTCGAAAACCAGCCTGGTTTTCTCTAGTCTGCTCTTCACGTACTCATGCGCTGAGCGACATTGCTGGTCGAAATAAACGGTGGGTGGGAGCACGTAACACATGTATCAATCACCTTAGTTGGCCCTATATAAAAACACCTCAGGTAGAGTGAGGGCGTACAACCACCTCTCTCCATTGTTCCATTCGAGCAGTGGGTTAGGCAGGGTTGCCCAATCTCACCATTCCTCTTCAACTTTGCCATCGATGACATTCTGGAAACAGCTCTGATGAATGTAAGTAATGGTGGTGTGGATCTGTTGCCTGGAGAAAGACTTCTCGGCCTTGAGTATGCGGACGATATTGTCTTACTGTACGATAATGCCCAAGGCAAGTGATCCGCACTTAATCAGTTGGCAATCAGTGTCCGTAGGTATGGTATGTGCTTTGCACCTTCGAAGTGCAAAGTACTTCTACAAGACTGGCAGGATTCCAATCCTGTACTCACCCTGGATGGTGAGCAAATAGAAGTAGTCGAGAAGTTCGTGTATCTTGGTAGCTGCATAAGTGTTGGTGGTGGCGTGAGTGATGAGATCAATGCACGTATAGTGAAAGCCAGAGCGGCTTATGCCAATCTGGGCCACCTTTGGCGCCTTCGTGATGTTAGTCTGGCTGTAAAAGGTCGGATCTACAACGCGTCGGTGAGAGCAGTTTTGCTCTATGCTTGTGAAACCTGGCCTCTCCGAGTTGAGGACGTTAGACGACTCTCTGTGTTCGATCATCGTTGTCTCCAAAGGATTGCTGACATCCAGTGGCAACACCATATTAGTAATGCAGAGGTTCAGCATCGTGTGTTCAGGCACAGAGACGATAATGCAATCGGTTTCACCATCTTGAAACACCGACTTCGGTGGCTTGGACATGTTTTCCGAATGTCGTCCCAGAGAATTCCACGTCGTGCATTATTTGCCGACTCTGGGACTGGTTGGAAAAAGCGGAGAGGTGGTCAGTGCATGACATGGTGTCGTGGTATGAAAGAAAGCTGCAAAGGACTGGCTTGTGTTGGTCCTTCACGACTCCCTGGTTGGGGTCTGAGAGATGGTGCTACACATTGGCTAGAGACGTTATCAGATATGGCTCAGAATAGAAGCCAGTGGCGATCCTGCTGTAACCTTCTTTTACTTTCTTCATAAAAAGTGGTTGTGTCTCCCTTACCTGAAAGATTTCTTCTGATTGTACCTTTCCGTCCCCTCGTTACTACCACACTACCTTATACCAATCTCTTCGTTATCGTTCTCTTTTTCTTTTGCACTCCTTAGTTTTTTTTCTATCTCCGAATTTTCATTGTTTTGTGTGGCGCATATATATTAGCACTCTCTTATACCAATATTTATGTGTTCAAATAAATAATAAATAGTTGGTGAATACTTACCACTTAATCGACCAGTTTTTCATATTTACCTATTATTCTAAGCCTGACATCAATACTGCTCACTCGTTGGTTCCAAAATACACTAGGGATGTTTCGAAGACACCTATGATCGTATACTAGTAACCTGAAAATATCCTCCATTTTTAAAGGGCATGTTTCACACCCATAAAGTATAATAGAGTGGACCGCTGCATAGCTTAGTTGTCGTTTAGTTGGTGACGCACGTCAGGATAAGCTTAGTTCCTAAGGAAAGTTCCCAGACGTTAGTCTATCAGGAGCCGTTGCTATTTGTTTTTCTATTTTTTTAAGAGTTGGATCGGCAGTTAATTTTCAGGTTAATTGATAAGATTGAACACTCGAATAGTAGCCGAAGAGAAGTTAAACTGTTCTAAGCATTTTATCCATCACTCAGTTTCCTGGGTTTAAAGTAGATTATTGTTCCATCGTTTTCAGAAACAGGCCTACTAACTTGAATAATAAATACCTGTTTCTGTGGTAAGTCTGAAAAGTCGTTTGCTGTTTGCCATTTCCATCGTTTTCTGTCTTAGCTGATCAACACTACTCATGATAATTGCGCAAACTCTTTGTCAGCTTAAGTCTAAGTCGCCTTTGTTATTGACAAGCGGTGATCCATTGTATTTCCATGCCTCCACTATGCGGGCCATCTAAAGCGTTTATTACTATTATTTATTATTTGAACATATAAAAATTGGTACGAGGCACCAAATAGATATGCACTGCATAAATCATTCGATTTGTGTGAGTGCTTGGATACTGCCAGGGTGCCAAAACCGGAACATGTGGATTTCTTGGGGGGCCACTCCCCTAGCCTTTTAACTAGAGGTCTGATTCACTAAGCAGTGGATGAACGATAGGAGGAGATGCAGTCCCAGCCGGTGACAACGATTAGTTCATACGCCATTTGTTCTCTCAAGATACTGGAGCCCATGTGCACCATTGGTTTGGAGTCAGGGTTTTCCAACACTCTTAAGTGAATCCTCCGTATCCACCAGCCCGGTTAGAGCGCCGGACAATTGATTTTCATCCTCTCGATTTCGTAAACAACAGTAGTACCGCGGGAATGCAGTGAGTAGGACTTTCCTGGCAGTGGCTGTATACGCGTGGCCATGTGAGAGCATTTCAAGAGGGAGGGCTGACTTTACCCATCGTCGGCTTAACCAGGGCATTCGGAGGTTTATTAGGTTTGTCACAACATCCCCTACTTTCGATTGATGTGTTAACCATCATATATACCATTTTCTCAGTCTCATAATCACTAAAGCTTCGACTTAATCTTATGCTATTCAGCATAGGATACTGATGTTAGTAGTGGTTAGAGATAAATATTCCTACAACCCAGGGCCAAAATGTTTATAGCTTTGCCAACCCATTCGGTATTTTTACCCAGTTTTATGTATTTATCCTCAGCATCCTTTAATGGTTTTTTCAGAAATCACACTTCAGTATCATTAAGAATTGCAGTCAAATGACCATACTTAAAGGTTGGATGTAGCCAAGTTATCTTTTCGTTTGCAAAGGGAAGTTTTGTGAGTCACAAATGGCTCACCTGGTACGATAAAATAAGAATTTGTGATGGTTGAGACTCGATACCAATTCACTCGGGATAATCAGACTAGATAATAGGTCAAGCCAACTTCGCTGCAACAATTTGCATTTGAAGTGAAAAATGCACGGTTCGAAGGTTACTTTATTAGTATCTTTACTAGCGAGGAACCTTACTATCAGTGTAAGTAAATTTGATGGGCTCTATCTAGGAAGTTCACCTCTGACAAGTCAGTTGTAAAAAAAAGTTTTTCTAAAAGGATATAAGTAGAAAACAGACCATTTTTTTCTAAACTAAAGACTGACCGATGAATTTCGTGCACAAGCCCCTACAAGTGTACGTAAACTCTTAAAATAGTGTGAGAACTTAAACCCTGGGATATAATATACAACAGATTTGGTTTGTATATCATTGACATGAATGTAAAGTTCATATTTTGGTTGCTCAGTTGCATAGTCATTTTTCATTCGATATTAAGTAATTAGTTGTATTTATTCTGTAAAATTTCTATCTGTCGAATCCCATCGCCCTTATCATTGTTTTTCGTACACGGCTTCCATTGTTTTTTTTAGATATCATATCAATTGAAGATTTTCACAACAGCAATCTTCTTTAGAATAATCTTATCGAAACATTTAAGTCGGATACAATGGTGCTCCTTGGGTGTTCTGTTCACCGGTGTTGCATTAACACAACTAAGTGATGTAGTGAATTCTAGTACTGAGAAAACTACAAATATTGCAGAAAATAATAATCTACTTGTTGGTCTTTCTTCTGTTATATTGGCTTGTAGTTGTTCGGGTTTTGCTGGTGTTTTCTTTGAGAAATTATTAAAGGGTAGTCATAAAAGCGTAGCTATACGTAATATACAGTTGGCATTCTACGGTGTTACAGCCGGTATCCTGACAGTCTATTTGAAAGATGGTAAAGAAATTGCTAGTAAAGGTTTCTTTATTGGTTACGACTCTGTTGTATGGGCAGCAATATTGATTCAATCATTAGGTGGTTTACTGATCGCTGCAACTATTCGTTATGCTGATAATATACGCAAAGGATTTGCTACGTCACTGGCTATTGTGCTTACGTTTATTTTATCAATATTCTGGTTTGATTTTAATCCGACTATTTTATTTTATGTTGGTGCTATCTTAGTGGTTGTTGCTACTATTTTATATTCATCTTACCCACCTTCAAATAATCAGGGTACTACTACTAACAATAAGATAAGTAGCGTGAATTCGTTCCAAAATTTCTTATCGGAGTCGAACTTCAGACATAAGTTATCTGTCTAGTTGTTTCAATTTTCGCTATTGGGTCTTTAGTAACTGTGATTTAATTTTTGCGTTCGTCTGCCTTTTAAAAAAATTGTCGGAATACATTGCTGTCAGTTGAAAATTACTACGAATACTTGGAGTTCTTAGGACACTTACTTTGCAATACTTATGTTCATTTGGTTCTTTCGCATTTTTCCCACTTGTCTGTGATAGTTACAATGTAAAATCTAGCTACTTTTGTTTTGTTCTTTGTATTGAAAAAGATTGTCACTCAAAAAATTCAGATTTTTCCTCACTTTTTTTGGGAATAAAAGTTTCGGTGTTTTGCCAATTATTAGCTCCAAATAAGGGTTGTCAAAATGCACTACTTTCATTTGACGCTTTTTTAAAACAGTTTGGGGAGAGAGGGGTGAAAACACATAAGGTCGTAAAGGGTATAAACAACTTAGGTTGTGTGGAGTTTAGTGTTTTGAGATAGCAGTTTAGAAATCCTTACAAGATATTTAGAAACCAAAATATTAGGACGAACAATTTTTTCAGCAACTTTGACATCAGGCTCTGTACTTATAATTCCGAAGTTATTTTATAAAGGCCAAAATAAAACATAGTAGTGAATTAGACAAAGTTTTGTTAGAAATGATGGACTTCTGCATCTGTTACGACATAAATGTGTCATTTGTAAATTAGGCAGGTCTTTTCCAAAAAGGCAGATTTTCGTAATTAAATGTGAGTTCGCGTTCAGTATTAATAAGAAAGTAAATCATGTGAATTAAATGCATCGTAGGGGGAAGTTAGTCTGGTTGGTGCAGATAATAGTAATAGTGATAACGCTGTATGAATAAGTGCTGTCAGGTATTAGATGTGTGTAACTGAGTACGCGTTAGATCCCAGCAGTTTGTCACCAGGTCTTAAGTTTTATGACTGACATAAATATGTGGGTCATTTAAATACTGTTTAGTTTAGGAATTGATTTACCCAAACACGAAACTTGGTACTCTCAAGGAAGGCCGAACTTAAAAGAGTTAGGACGACACTAGTTGACTGGTGTAACCAACCAAAATAAGCACTGCACAAAGAATATATTAACCAATGGACATCGGGAAGCCATCCGAAAATCTAGGCTGCGGAATCACATGATCACCATACTAGGTTTTGTAGTTTTATCTAAAGTTGATTAAATAAATAAGATGAATTTTCTACTGAATAATCAAATGAAGTTCAAATAACTTGGATAATGTAAAGGCTTAGATGAAAAGAACGATCATCTACTGACCACGGTATTACACCGAGAACAGTGCTGAAAATACCTATGATGGGATTAAGCGTTACGGAACAGTCGGAGGTTTACAAACCACAGGCTTCTTTATGTCTGGTTCTAGATATGTCAAACTCAACAGCACAACGGTGAATAAATTCACTAGAATCACTACATCGAGACTTGTTAAATGTTAAAGACATTTTGGTGTGTAAACGCAGTGGGGACTTTTGACATAATGAGTAAGACTGCTAATTCCATGCGTTACACCTATGTTTATAGACATTTCACTGATCAAGATAACCAACTACTCACGCAAATAACATTTAGGAAAGCGAATAGCAATATTGATCTCGGTAAATGGAATGTGCATGTTTCAAACTGTTACCAACAGCTCTTGTTCATTAATACGTGTTACATGATTAGTGTGTCATTAACGTTTCAACAGTAATGTTTATGATTACTTAGACTCCTAATGGCAGGTTTTCTATTTAGGCTAGATAATTATCAATGAGAAAAATGCGTTTAGTTAGGAATTAAAGTATAACCATTTTAGGCTGGTGTCCCCTTATTTTACTGCGCATTTCGAATTCAAAGTTCCGAATGTAACTTTGTCTAAATGAATTCGAAGCAATTGTTTCCAAACATGTTTTGGAGAAATAATTAATGTTGTTCTTGAGTATTTTGGAAATATGTATTTGTACTAGTTGACACTAGTAAGAAGTGGGTAATCATTCGATTCTTTGTGACTTATTTATTATATAAGGTATATTCTGTCGAAATTTGCCGGTCGGTTGTTTGGACATTCAGTTTTATTTATCTTCGCAAATTTGTTGATTAACAAACTCCTTGTTTTAACACTGGCGATGCTTTTTAAAACCTCAGTTAATGTTTTTGATTTGAAGGGTCACGTCCTGTGATACTGATTGTCTTTCGATAATCAAGAATGATCTTTTATCATCTCTAGATGAAATAATGATGTAGAATCACCTCCAAAAGCGGATTTTCACGAACTCAAAATGACTTCACAAGAAAAATTGATTTGTGAGTATTTTCCGTTAGAGGTTCTACACAACTGAACCCATAAAATTTCTATCTGACAAGTGCTGGATGATCTACCCATCTAGTACGAAGCCTAAGTTCAATGTTTTAAAATTGTCAGTCTGTGGTATTATTTGGCCATTCATCATAGTAAGTCAGTTGACGCTTTTTTTGAGATTTCTTACACTAGAATGAAGCGGTTTTCTATCATCCACTGGATGTAGATTGTCACACCGTCTCTTTTCTTCAGTGGAAGTATTAATATGTTAAAAGAAAATTTTACGGCAAGCACTTTTTTGTTAAAGATTTTAAAATTGGATACTTATTTAAAGGGAGCTAAAAGCTCTCTTGTAATTCACAGTTGTTTTTATCCTAATTCACAAAGTTTCTAAAGTTTACCATTGGTACCTGGATTTCTCAAAGTTACAATTTATGTAATCTCAGTTCATATAACGGATGCTGGTTGTTGTGTTCTTTTATTTACTTTTATAATTCATTACATCGAAAAATAATGAGGTGATAAAATCTGAGATTACTGACATACTATTTCATTATAAATATGATAATGTCTGACGTAGATTAGGATTAATATAACGACCTACTTTTATTAATAGTAATTAATGTTCTTTTTCAAATGAAAGCATAAGGCTGTCACAGCTATTTAACAAACGCCTTTTTAAATCTGCAAATTATAAACGATAGAAGTATGAACTGACTGATTTTGAGCATGATTAGATTGCGTAAAATAGAATAGGTAATGACCAACCTATTCTCAAATTGCCGTTTGAGAGCTTGAGATAATTTTTTTATTTTAAAGGTCATAGAAAAAGAAGTTGCTCTGTGTTAGATGAGAGGGACTTATTCTTAATCAGTATTCCGTTAGTGAACACGCTTATACCACACTATAGGGGAAGTGAGCTCTAGTGTCAAGTAAATTTGCAAATTATGTAGTTCCCAAAGACAAGATGTCATTTAACTATATGAAATAAAGACATTGTAGAGCCAGTGAAATTTCACTGGGCCCTAGCTAGGTCACCCGACAATTGGGTTATTGAGTATCGAACGAATCATCTATCCTCGTCAACGTCAAGGACAACCGACGCGCATCAGTCAATCGTCTTACTTTCGCTTGTATCTACTTTAAATGATATATTTCTGTAATAACTTCCTTTGTGTTGTACAGTCTTCAAAGCATCTATAGTACCTTGGTACGTCAATGGTTTAGTCCACGTAAGGTGCTGACCACGAGGTGTGACTTCGACATTAGCTGGTTCGTCACACCATCCCCATCTTACTCGAGTAGGCCTTCAATCATTCGACATAGATCACCTACGCTGGTGATTTACACTGGTGAGCCTGATGTGATTCGAATACACAACCTTCTAATGGAAAATTCAGGTGGAGAAAACCGAATTATAATTAGCACAAATTTACAGTTACTTGGTAAAATAGAAACACAATGCTCTAATACTTAATTTGCAAAATGTTCATTAATTGTTCCAGACTTCATTGTTTCTGCATTTCCATACCAATTTCTTTCTATCCCCTTTTTTCCCTTCTTAACCTTGTCAATCTCCTGCTGCGACATATTATATTCCTGACTCGCGTTATATACTGCTTATGTCAATATGAGTCGCACACACCACACTCGTCCCCCCTTTTAATAAGGTGTCATCGTAGTCTTTCCGATTGCCGTACCGCTGTTTTCTTCGGTGCTTTTCGTAACTCTCACTCATGATCTTGAAACCATCTGTACAGTTGACTGGCATTTACGCACTTCTGTTTGTCTTCTCTCTGGATTGTCTAAACCGAGCCAGGTCTCTCCATGACAATGTACGGTCCTTCTCCCTTCGGGGTCAGCTTTCCTGACCCTGATGCGCCAATTATATAACTTTTCGTACTCTACACTTTACCAGATCTCGAATACAAAAGGCTTCCACGTTTACTTCTGTTGTTCCACCTTTTTGTGTCTGATATGTTTTTTTCCACGTTCATTATTGCATCCATCCTCTATTTTCTTAACCTTACTGTGGCCAAGTCTCATCATGGCTATCTACCAAACATAAACAGGAAAGGCGACTTCTTGGTTGTTCCTTGTATGAAGGAACCATGTGCCAACAAAATAAATGGTAACTCTTTCTCCCAATTTCCTCCTCTACATGCTTACCATTCCTTTGACGTCCGGTTGTTTCTGAGAGTGGTAAGTCATAGTTCGTATCCTCTTGATGCCAAGCTGCTTTAGACAGGCTTTGAACTCATCACTTCCAAAACATGGACCCTGGTCGGTTAATATGATCTTTGGTATTCCATGTCACGCTACATTATGCCGGATTACCATGTAGCGGTGAATAAATCCGCAAACTAAATAGCTCTGTAGGTTTTCGACATTGGATGCTGACCATATGTTTTAGTGGACTCATCTAGCTGAAGGCGCTCGGTCATGCATCCGCACTAGATCACGTGTTGTAACTCTGAACTCAACATCAACCGCAATCACTAGCCAGATTAGATCAGAGAATTCCGATATATTGGTTATCGCCAAATACACTCTTCTGATCTCCTCGACTCTGTCTTTTGATTTCTCTCGGTGGGAACAAAGCATATTAGAGGGTGTTACTGGTAGAAGCGTTGTCAAACACTGAATACTTGTATCATCCTCATTGGTGAGCCCGACGTGATCTGGTACACCTAATTGCAACTGTGAGTCTGTTCCTTTTTGGGA